AGTGATGTCGCCCGAACGGATCTACGTCAAGCGCACGCCGTCCGCCATGCATTAGCACGCGGCCATCGTTGCGCCGCTCGACGTCACCTCCGTGATTCAGTCGGTGGTTGGAGAGGTAGGTGGTAGCCCCGAAGAAGCACCTCAGTGGGACGAGACAGTACAAGTACATCAACGTCCTTCCCATTCGAGAGCCAATTACCCAGCTGTCGACGACTGCGTCGTCGAAGCGGGGGAGGGCATTGCCAACGGAGCTGTTGACTTGCTCCGTCGAGGCCTCGAGACGATGCGCAGGGAGCACCCCGGGGATCCCCCGAGCTGGCCGAGGACGAACGTGTGGTCGAGGGACTACAGCGCACAGGGTCTTGCTGTAAGCGTTTTCAATTCGGGCGATCCGCATACCTTGCCAGGTTCGTGCATCGCGACTACCTCGTCTCGAGTCTTTGCTACGGCTGCATATTGGATTATCCCAGGTGATCCCCTCGCCGCGGAGTTCTGCCTAAACTAGAGCGATGTGCATTTGATCTTCCGAGTGATCGTTGCTGGCATTGCGGCCCCGACGGCCTCGTGGACCTTGGTCTATGACCGGCGGTTCAACGGCGCGAAGATTGACCCGAGACTGGGGTCCGCCTGCATCGATTGGATTCGGCCGCATCAGTCTTTCCATCGACTCCGCGGCGATGACGACGACGCCCTCGCGCCAGTGGGGTTCTAGGCGAAACTGCTCCTGCGCCCGCCGTGGGGTAATGAATGTCTCATCTGTTTCGGGGCATGCACAAATCGTCCAAGACTGTTCCACTCTCTTCATTGTCGGGCGCCCGTGTTCTTCTTCCCAGAGATCCAGGCGCCCAATTTGATGACTCTGGCACGTCAGCGGCACGAGATCGGACTTGCGGAGGTGGTCGGAGGGGGGGCCGAACGGGGGCCCGGGGGCCACGTCCCTGGCCCCGCGCTGAAGGCCACGAGGTCATCTCTGCATGGCTGGGCAATTTTCAAAGGGGCCAATCGCAGGACAAGCGGACCCTGCCCGGAGCTTCCACAGCGGCCCTCCGTCGCAGACATGCCCTGCAAGGCAAGACCGCGCGCCGACACGACCTCGTGGGCACCCTCGCCTGGCGCCCAACGCCTTCCGAGGACATGGCGCAAGTCGATCAGAACGCCCACCGATGGGAGAAGTCGCAGAAACGGGGGAAGCGCTGGATCACGTTCCAGGCGCATGCCTGCGCTCCCGCCACGGGCCCGGGCGCAGTCGTCCATCCGCGGGCCTAGTGGCCGTGCATCAGTAGGAGGCTGGATCTTCAGCAGCAGGACTTCTCCCTTCTGTAGCCATTCGACTGGGGCCGCGACTGCCCCGAGGAGTACGAGGCCGACGAACCATCGACTGGCCGGGGGCAGCTGCTCGCCAAGCTCCGTCGCCCTGAATTGCCCCCAGCGCTCGCGGACCTAAAGACGGTGATGCAGCAGGAGCTGGAGGAGCATTGGGGGCCGCAGGAAGATTTTAACACTGCGGCGGCTGAGGAGGGGGGGCCCGGCATCTGCCGACTGCGTCGGCAGTGCCAGGGACCCCGGCGTTCGCGGCAAGGAGGGCGGGAAGCGCCCGTCGGCGACCCGGACCGGGGGCCGCCCGCCGACGGCGCGCGCGCCCACTGGAGGGCCTGGAGTTACCCGAGATAAATGATCGAAGCGCCGCGGAAGCCAGGGGCCGCAGAATCGGCGCGCTGCCGGGCGCCGCCGAGAGGCTGGGCCGACGCCCTGGGAGCTCCATCCCAGTCCATCGATGTCGACTGCAGCATCATCGAGTTCTGCCCCAGGACCCGCGGCGGGAAGGCGCGGGCACACGGACGTCCGATTGAGGGCTGCGGAGGAGGTAGATGACCCGCGCCCGCCATGGCGCCGCGACTCGCAGAGCCGCCGGCCGTCGACGAGCTCAGGATAGGGCCCAAGCAATTGGCAGAGCTGGAACAGCAGCCGGGGCCATAGCGACCAGTGGAGCGAGGACAGGCGCTGGCGGAGAGAAAGGGACTGGGGGGGCATGTCGGAGCTGCGCTCTGAGGTTTCCGCGATTGCGTTGGAGGAGTGCTCCGAGCGGTCTGGCGCGGGCCACGGCGCGGCGGCATACTGCGATGGCCCTATGAGCCGATCGCCGGGCGGCGTGCGCCAGCGCGCCACTCTTTATGTGGGGCTCGCTAGTCCGTTTGGGCTTCCCCCACAGGATCGCGTCGGGTGCGTGCCCTTCCCTTCCGCGCGCGCAGTAGAGACTTCTGGGGCTTGCACCGCGGGGGCCGAAGTGTCTCGGGGGAAACGGTGAAGTCCGACCTCGGCACTCGGGGCGCGCCAAACTCGGCCTGTTGCGCCCCGTCGCAGATTCGGGGCGCCAGCCAAAGGCGGACGCCCGCCCGCGCGCGGAGACCCCGCGCCAGGCTGGCCGGGGGGGGTCATTTAGCTACGCTCCCCTCGCGTGCCGCATTTACTTTGCGTCAGCATCCAGCATGGATAGTTGGCGCCGCCATTATCGGCGTTACTCTTGCCATTATATTTCGGCTGTCAGGACAGCGCGCGCGCCCGCCCCCCCTCTTCCGCCGGCCGGCCGGCGCGCGCGCGCCCGCAGTCTTAATGCAGTTGATTAGCTAAACGGATACTTATCACAACCACGGCGACAAGCACATCCCCTACAAGGCGCAGCTTGGGACCACCACTCCAAGAACAGCGGCCGATCAACAGGGTCAAGATAATTCTCAAATCCACAATGAATCGGCGAAATGCTGGGCGGCCCCCGCGCGGCATCCCGCCAGCCTCGCGCGTGGGGGCCGCCGGGGGGAGGAAAACGAGAGCGGAAAAAATCGCTTCCGAGCAGCACCGAGCACGCCGCGGTGCTGCCAGGGGCCCCCGCCCGCGCACCACTCCAACAGTTCCCGCGCTGGGGGGGGCCGCCGGGCGGGCCCCCCGCGGAGGCTCAAGGCTGGGCGCCCCCCCATGTCAACGTTGGGCGTCAGCTGGAAAACTCCCGGCCGCGGGGGGGGGCGCGCGGGCTGGGCGGCAGGGGGCCCGCGCGCGAGCAGGTGCCCGCGCCGGGCGGCCAGGCCAGGCGGCGAAGGAACGAAGGGGGGGATGGAGGGAGAAGGAGGGGAGAAACGGACAAACGCGCGGAAGGGGAGGAGGAGGAAGAGGAGGAGGTGGAGGAGGACGAGGACGAGGACGTGGGCGAGGAGGAGGAGGATACATAATAATACGAGTAGTAGTAATGATAATGATGAGTAGCCGTGTAAGTGTAAAAGCAGTACTTGTGGTAGTAATGCTACAAATAATGGTCATAACTATGCGAATAATAGTTTTTTATTTACATGTTAGCCATACAACTACTAACCAGACCAATATCCCGAATACGAATAAAACTAACACGAACAAGCATAATAGTATTAATCGTATTACTACTACTAATAAGAGTACTAACACGTATACTAATAGCTATACTAAGATTAAGATTGTTAGTGATAGTAATAATAATATTCATATTAATATTAATCATGATAATAGTAATACTAGTAATAATATTAGTAGTAGTAGTAATAATAATAATAATAATAATAATAATAATAATAAGAAGAAGAAGAAGAATAAGAAGAAGAAGAAGAGGAAGAATAAGAAGAAGGACGCGGCTGCGAATACTGATAATCATGATAAATAGGGGAGGAGGAGGAGGAGAAGGAGGAGGAGGAGGAGGACGAGGAGGAGGAGGAGGACGAGGAAAATGAAGAGGAGAGGCGGGCGCATGCGCGCAAGGACGGGGATTTCGCAAAGGACCGTGTCCCCATGGGTGCGAGTGCCGAGATGCGGAGGGGACTTGTGCGATGCCTCGTCGGATCGAGGGCGCCGCCCGAGCGGGATTGCTTGTGATGTGCGCGGCCGTTGTGTGGGGTTGGACATCGCTGTGGGGTGGGGTGGGGCGGGGTGGGAGTAGGGGGGACGCACTGCGGGGGCTCCCAAAGCGACCGCGCGGAGAGGTCAGGAGGCGTGGGGCGTGGTGTGTGCGTGGGGCGGGGCAAACGCATGGGCCACAAAAGCCCTCATTGCTTGGGGCTCACCATGCTGGTGCCCTTTGTGGCCCGTCCGCGGCCACGGGGAGGGGGCGGTGCGCCTGGACGCCCCCAGACAGAGAGGCTGATGCCGCCGCCGCGGCGATGTTGCTGCTGCTGCTGCTACTGCTGCTGCTGCTACTGCTGCTGCTGCTGCTGCTTCTCGTGGTCACCCTTCTGTTCCGCGTCGTCTTCGTCCCCGTCTTCCTCCGCCTCTTCTTCCTCATATCCGCTCTGGCCCGGACACGTCGTCTCCACGTCGTAAGTCAGGTTCGTCGGGGGCGCGGCGGCCCTTCGGGCCAGAAAGTCCGAACCGCACTGCCAGCGGCAGCGCGGCCCTCCGCATCCCTCCCCCCGTCTGCAGGCCGCCCCGAAGCGAATACCAGTTCCTGCTTCGCCACGGTTGGATGCAGCTCGGAAAACTGGTGCGCTTGGGCACCAGGAGGGGTCCGGGGAGCGATTTTGAGCTGCCGTTGTCTCAACTCGCCCTGCTCCGAGAGGGCTGGGGGTGTCGGGGCCAGGTTGGGGGGTATCAGTCGGGGCGAGGTGGGGGGTATCGGTCGGTTTGGGGCGAGAAATCGTGGGGTGGGGGGTCCCAAGAACAGAGGTTCTGTGGGCGGGGGTGTCGGGGCCAGGTTGGGGGGGTATCGGTCGGGGCGAGGTGGGGGGTATCGGTCGGTTTTGGTCGGGGATGGACAGACTCCCCTTTAGTAAAACGTGGTTTAGTGAAAATTACCTGAGGCCCAAACCTGGCGGGCGCAAGCCTGGAAAATGACGGCCGCGGCGCCCTCTCGAGAACCGAAAACGGACAACTAATCGACGTGTCACTGTTGGGGGTTCTGTCCACCCCCGATTTGGGCGAGAAATCGTGGGGTGGGGGTGCCTGGTGGCCCGGTTGAGCCCCTGGGCGCGCCCGCGCGTCCCCGCCAGGCCCTCCTGCGCAGCAAGGCGGGCATGCCGGGCGCAGAGCAGTCGCCCCGGTGACTCCGCGGCCGGCCTTCGGAGGCGCAGCGCGCGGCGCTGCCCCACTTCGCGTGGAAGCGCACTGGTTTCTGCCTTTTGTCTCGGCGCCCTCCGTCGGACACCGGGCTCACGCTCGCTCTGCCTCCCCCGGCCCTTCTGACCATCCCTCGTCGCCCCCCCCCAACCCCCTCCAAGTCCAGTTTCGTTGATCTTGTTTTTGTCCTCTGGCGCGTGGCGGTCGTTGTCCGGACCACTCCCTTCCCCGGAAGCGGTAACGGGGGGTGCTCGACCCCTCCCCATGCTTGCGCTGGCGTGCAAACTATAGCGATCGCAGCGCACCCCCGCCCCGACGAGGCCCACTTCGCTCAAACGGTGCCGTTACCCGAGGCCCCTCCTCCCAGGTGACGACCGTTAACGGAAACAAGTGGGTGCCTTGGCTCTTGCACGGAAGGGGATACCAGGAGGGGAATCATTCTCATGGATCAAGGGGGCGTGGATTAGCGACGGGTCCCGTTCCCATGGGAAATCGCGGATTTCCGCCGCCGAGCGAGGCGGCAGCGGCCGCATTTTGGAGAGGGCACCTCCCCCGATCCATGGATTTGACCACCGCGCTCCAAATCCATGGATCGCTGAGCCATGTCCCCCGACATTCGAGGGGCGTCCTGGTGCCATCTCGGGGTCTCTCGTCGGGCCTGTCGGGGCTGGCATGCGGGGCCTTTGGGTCAGGGAGGCCTGGACGGCGACGCTCGACGAACGAACGACAACGAAAGCAAATGTTTCCGAGCTCTAGAACACCTTTTGTCACCACCCGCCAAACCACCCTAATTACCCCAACCCGAAGGCCTCCATTTCCAGTGCGGGGGGGGGTCGGGGAACACCGAAAAAGCATGTATGGAGCCCATGCCCTCCCCAGCCCGAAGTTTCGGGTCTTCGGGTTGGGTTGAGGTGGTCTGGCAGGTCATTTTGGTCCTCGGGCACAAAAGAATCAGACGGCGGTCGATCGACGGGAGGGGCACTCCAGAAGCGAATCGAGCACCGAGCAGAAGAAGGACGGAGCCGAGGGGAGCGCAAGTGCAGCGGAGCCGCCCTCACAGCGTGCAGCTCCTGCACGCGGGTGCTGGAGGTGCACGTTGGCGCGGAATTCCGAGTCCAAGCTCTGGAGCACAGCTGCCGCGCAAGAGGATCACAGACGCAGCCCTCGGAGGGACGCCAACAGCACACACCGCCACCAGCCCTGGCCAGGTCCATCCTGGGGCCCCTGGGCTGGTGCACAGAGACCTCCCGGCCTATGGACCCGGAGGGCATGTGCACCAGTCCAGGGCACAGGATGGGCCTGGCCAGGGCCATCCTGGGGCCCCTGGGCTGGTGCACAGAGACCTCCCGGCCTGTGGACCCGGAGGGCAGGTGCACCAGTCCGGGGCCCAGGATGGCCAGCCCTGGCCAGGTCCATCCTGGGCCCCCTGGGCTGGTGCACAGAGACCTCCCGGCCCATGGACCCGGAGGGCATGTGCACGAGTCCCGAGCCCAGGATGGGCCTGGCCAGGGCTGGTGGCGGTGTATTGTTCGGAGCTCTCGTACAGTCAACGCGCACAGAAAGGACGCGCGCCCTTTCTAGGGTACCCTTGTGTCCTTGCCTCTGCGGCCCGTCCTTTGCTGCTTCCCCTGGCCAGCCTCTCAGGCCGCCGCCCAACAAATCCCAACCTCGGCCTCCAAGGGTCTCGCGTCCTTACCACCCGTCCTTGCTATACGTTTTCACTGTAGGCCCCTTCCCCCCGCCTGCCCCGCCTTCCCCGCCCAGGCGGCCCCGCCCTTCGCGGCGGCGGGCTCGGGAGGCCCCGCCCCCTCGCGGCTCTCGCACTTCTCCGGGGCGGGACAGGGCCACGGGGACGGTGCTGTTCGCCCTCCTCCCCCCCTCCCAGGAGGAGGAGGAGGAGGAGGAGGAGGAGGAGGAGGAAGAGGAGGAGGAGGAAGAGGAGGAGGAGGAGGAACAGGAGGAGGAACAGGAGGAGGAGGAGGAGGAAGAAGAAGAAGAAGACGAAGCCGCGGGCCCGGCCCGAGCGTGCCTGGGACTGTGCGCGTCGCCCTCAGGTGGGCAACAGCGACGAGACCTCCCCAATGCACAATCTCACACACTACGTCCTCCTTCCCAAATGTTTCGATGTCTCGCACTTTCCTGCAGTTCTCCTTACCGCAAATGCGTTGAGGGCAGGATGGGCGGCAGGTATTGTTATTATTGACAGCGTCTAGGTTGGCTTGAATAAGGCCGAAGGGTTCAGGCACTCCATAGGATTGAATTCTCGGAACGAACACATCGTACTCCCATCTCTGTCAAGGCACTCAATGGGATTAGTCTCTCAGCGCGAACCCATCGTACTCACATATTCTTAAAATATTCGGGACAACTACTCCGCATCGCCATCGGCAGCATCAGGAAAAGCGCACAGTCCAAACATGCTTGTCAATGCACTTCAAACAAAGGGAATGACGATTGGCACGGCACTTGAATTCAGAACCAGCATGCTCACCGACCAGCAGCCCACCACGACAACAACGACAGCAACCACGACAGAAACCACGACAGCTACGACAACAACCCCAACGGCAGCCACCACGACAGCTACCACAACAGCAACCACAAGAACCTCCACGCCACCCACCACCACGATTACCATTACATCTACCACGACAGCCACCACGACAACTACTACAGCAACGCGTATGCCACCTTGTCTGCCACCACGGCAGCAAGACGACAGCCTCCACGACAGCCACCACGGCGGCAACACGACAACTACCACGACAGCCTCCACGAGAAGTACTACGACACCTACAACTACAGCTACCAGCACAGCCACCATGCCAGCCACCACGGCAGCCACTACGACAGATACCACGACAGTCACCTCGACAGCCACCACCACAGTAACGCGACAACCACCACGCCAAACATCACGCCAGCAACGCGACAGCCACAACGTTAGCCACAACGACAGCCACTACGACTGCCACCACGACAGCCACAACGGTGGCAACACGACAACCACCGCGACAGCCACCATGGCAATTACTACTACAGCTACCGCGACAACAATCACGGCAGCCTCGTACGACAATTACTGCGATATCAACCACGGCAGTCACCATGACAGCAACGCGACAGCCACCACGACAACTAGTACAACAGCGCGACAGCCACCTTGTCTGCCACCACGGCAGCAAGACGACAACCACCACAACAGCCACCACGGCAGCAACACGACGGCCACAACGACAGCCACTACGACAACCACCGCGACAGCCGCCACGACAATTTCTACGACAGCCACCGCGACAGCTACCACGAGAACCTCCACGGCACCCACCACCACAACTACCATTACATCTACCACGACAGCCACCACGACAACTACAACAACAACGCGACAGCCACCTTGTCTGCCACCACGGCAGCAAGACGACAACCACCACGACAGCCACCACGGCGGCAACACGACGGCCACCACGGCAGCCTCTACGACAACTATTACGACAGCCACCACGACAGTCACCACGACAGCCACCACCACAGCAACTCGACAGCCACCACGCCAGCCACCACGCCAGCAACACGACAGCCGCCACGACAGCGATTACGACAACCACCACGACAGCCACCACGGCGGCAACACGACAACCACCGGGACAGCCACCACGACAGATACTACGACAGCTACCATTACAGCTACAAGTGCAGTTGCCGCGACAATCGCTTCGGCAGCCACCACGATGACAACAACAACAACAACAACAACAACAACAACAACAACAACCACGACGGCTACCACGACAACCACCTCGACAGCCACCATTACAGCAAAGCGGCATCCACCACGACAGCCACCACGGCAGATCAAGTCAGCAGACCACCCAGCAGTACACCCACCGTCCATCAGACAGCCGGTTACAGCACACCAGCCGGCGTACCACCGATTCTTGATTAGCAGCCACACCGACCGCCGACTCTTACCCCCGCCAATATTTCCAAGCTTGCCGCCCCTTTGGCTTGTACCGCCCCCTCCGGCCCAGGCTAGGGGGGGGTCTGGGCCGGAAAGGGGTCCGGATCGGGGGGGGTCCGGACCAGGGGGGGCCCAGACCGGGGGGGGGTCCAGACCGGGGGGGGTCTGGACCGGAGGGGAGTCCGGACCGGGGGGGGGTCCGGACCAGGGGGGAGGTCCGGACCGAAGGAGGTCCGGACCGGGAGAGGTCCAGACCGAGGAGGGGTCTGGACAGGGGGGGGGGTCTGGACCAGGAGGGGTCTGGGCCAGGAGGGTCCGCGGACGGGGATTTGGGCAAGGGGAGGTCCGGGCCAGGGGGGCCCCGGTACGGTTCGGTTCCGGTTCGGTTCTCGTCGGTTCGGTTCGGGGGCCGCCCTGGTCCGGTTCGGTTCTTGTTTTGGTTTGGTTCGGTTTTCTCCGGTTCGGTTTTGAATGAATTCGGTTCGGTCCGGTTCGGTTCTTGATTTTCTTTATCTATGGCCGGTTCGGTTTGGTTCGTCGGTAGCGGCTCTCGGTTCTCGGTTCGGTTGGGTCTTTTCATCCCCTCCACCCATGAAGCTCTTGCAACGTTTACATGCGACTGTGCGCGGCGCTAATTAGGGCGAGAGCCACATTCTGACAACGGGCCGCCTTCCATCCGTGAGGTTTATTTCTTGTGCGCAGGAAGTGTTTATGCGAATGTTCGCAGCGGTGGGGCTTGAGCCACATTTTGAGAACGGGCCGTCTTCCATCCGTGAAAGTCTTGGAACTCTCAAGCTTCGTGCTCTTAAATTACGTGGCCGTCGAAGGCGAAACGCCCGGCCCGCCCTTTCGACTGGTTTCGGGGTGCGACAGGGAGGAGTGATTGGCTCCGGGAGGGTGGTTTATAGGGAAGAGCGATCGAGGAAAGAGGAGGGGGAGGAGGACTAGGAGGAGGAGGAGGAGGAGGAGGAGAGGAGGAGGAGGGGCGGAGAGACGGGGAGGGGGGGGAGTCGGAGGAGGAACGCA